GTTTGCTGTAAGCACAGTCAGCCAGCGCAGCTGACTCAAAACGGGCCGCCGAAGCGGAGAGAAAAACGCACACTGTTGCAGTAAGCACAGTCAGCCAGCGCAGCTGACTCACAACGGGCCGCGTGGTGTCAACAAAACCATGAGCTGCCGAGAGCTCAGAAGAAAGGCGGCGATGCCTTCGATGCCTTTCTGCTTCAACTCTTCATTATGCTGAGCCACACAGAGCTTGTCCAGGAATACCATTAAAGGTCTGCAAACAAGCGTCCGCAAGCGCTGCCAGAAGAGGAAAACCAAGAGATAGCTGCCATGACCAATCACCACAGTCCAGCCCTCATCTGGCAGCACCCTGTAGCCCCGCAGCACGCCGACAAGGACGCTGATCACAAGGCATGCCAGAAAAGCAGCACGTGAGTTGTAAACGATGAGCAGCGACAAGAACTTTTGCTTTCCACTCGAGGCCCAGTCATGGCTGAGGAACACGTCCAAGGATTCGATTGGCTGGCTAAGGTCGTAGTTCTTTGGATCCACATTAAACATACCATTGTCCGGGGTCTCCCAGTGCCTGCCCCAGCCCGTCAGGGCTCGGTCAAGCGACACTGCCCGGAGGAGGTCCGGGTCCAGCTGAGTCGTTAGCTGCTTTGATATCTTCGACGCCTTCGACGTCGATCGCACGGGCGAGCACACTGGTGAGCTCGTAGGCGACGCAGCTGGCGAAAACATCGGCTAGAGGAGGCAAGGGTTTCAAATTGAATTCAAGGCCGAGTCGATGACCGACGACACTTCGGGTGCGATAAAACGAACTTCTAGCGGCTTGCGGTTGATAAGGCCTGGGTTGCCTGGTTGAGTTGATGTGCACATGAGGCCAAATTGCCCACCACACTACTGACGTAGACTATGGCAGATCTGAGAAGCCGGACGGCAAGACCAGTGGCATGGCGAAAATGCATGCGGCTTCGCGGCGGGAACATGAATGAGAACTTCGGACACGTATGAGAACCCCGTTGTTGCACTACGCGGTATTGGGTACTTTATCCTCATATTGAAACATCGACCGGAATTCCGATCCTGTACCCCTGAACAGACATCCCCTCACGAACGTTTGCCTGCAGAGGATCTCGGGTTGCGCTGCACAGAACAGAGGCGTCATGGACATTCATGGCATTGAAAACTATTATGCACATGGAAACCCGCGGCCCACGTGTGTTTTACAGACACGCGAGCAGAATCTTCTGATCAGAGACCTCCTTAGGTGGTCTTTGCCGCCAGAGTCTGTGCGACAGTGGACGTCGCAGAAGAGTCGGCGTAGCCGGTGTAGTTGGCAATGAGACGGCTCTGATCTACGATAGTTCTGGCCACTGACGGCCGTTTTTCGCAGGCATCGCCCCAAGAATGAAGGCGGTCCCAGGTGGCACCCCGTGGCACCTCGAATCCTCGGTACGTGCCTGCAATGCTGCGGAATCGGGTCCACCAGGGGCATAAGGCAATGTCGACCATCGTGAACTCATCACCAAGAAAGAAGGCGCCCCCATCTGCTGAAACAGGATCCATTGCTTGGGCTAGGCACAGAAGGCCATCCAGCAAGCTCTTCTTTTCGGCGTCCCGTTCGTCGGCAGTCTCACGCATGAGTAGCCGGTAGAAATGGGGAATGATCTTCCTTATGCATGCATGCACCCACTCTGCTCGGGAGCACAAGCACATCACGAACCGTTGTAGCCCCAGCACTTAAATCAAAGCCAGCTGAGAACACACCCAAGAAGGTGAGGGGAGGAGAAACGAATAAGGAAGAACACGTTGGCACATTGACTTCATTGCCGGGATGCTCGCCGATGTAGGCACACCAGATGCGCACTTTGGCCCGAGCATCGGGACGTGATCGGCCAGGCATCAAGGAAGGTCCATCGAGAGCTTCTTCAACATACTCAACACAAACCTCGGCCCAATAGGGTTTAGGGTTTAGGGTTTAGGGGGGGGTTCAGGGCTCACAAGCAGCAAGAAACAAGGCGAGGGACCATCGACTCGTAGATTCGATGCACAGAACCATCTGCTTGGGTGCTCTCGATTGCGGGAAGCAGGCCTTTCGGGCTCGAGGCCATGAACTCCGGATAGCGCCTCCTCTTCTCATCCAGTGGTAGAGGATTTTTGGAGTACCTGGCATATTCTGACAGGCATGTACCATGCTGTGCTACATGAGCTTCTCGTGCATTCAAGCATGGCCGCAAGACCCCCCTGGCTTGCTTGCATCCTCCTGATACGGCTCAATGGCCACATACTCATAGACCGCGCCCTTTTCCTCCAGAGCAATCCATGCTCGTTGCGCGAAAGGACAAAACCTGAAGAGTGACAGCGGATCTGGGGTCCAAGAGACAGCATAGCACTCCCAACCCGACCCATCTGCTTCCACCCTTAACCTGTGCGTTGAATCCACACGCTCGCTGTTCAGCAGAGGATTGTGGACGTCTGCTACTGTAGACTAGGGTCTTTCCGGGGTGTGTTGGATTTCGCACGTCGTGCGAGGTAACACGTCGGCGGAATACTTGATCTGAAACTTGATCAAATCCACGGCTCACACAGTCCGAGAGGCCATCCGCAGAAGAGACGTAGTGGCTGCTTTGCGCTCCGCTTCTGAATGGTCTCTTCACCCGACACCATGGCACACTTCAAAACCAATGCACCTATCTCGTCTCGATGTGGGCCGCTCAGCTTAGGCAACTTGCAACGAGATACTAGCCAAATCAACGAATCAGCAAACCGCGATTTGAGGCGACTGCACGCCTTTGGACCAAAGACTGCACTCTTAGCCAGCTGGGCCGATGAGTAACCAGATCCATGGAACGGTAGGTAATTAACCGTTGCGGATGCGACATGGACGTGCCAAAATCAAAAGCTGTCACCGGCTTTACCAATCGTGCTGGGGCAGCACTTCTCGAAGCTCCACCGGTTGGGCCACATGCTGATGATGGTCGTGGTCTGGGGCGTGAGAACTCGCACAATGACGACCACAAGACCACACGATGTGAATCTGGACTTCCTGTGCGGGCTCTCCATGCCGGTAACCGCTGACGCTGCAGCATGCAGGAGTCTGGAGCCCATTAGGCCCGTGAGAGTCGGGGGTACTGGAACAGGGATGTGAACGTAAACACGGGGGAGCACCGCTCTCTCTGACCAAGTCTTCTAGCCATCGTCACTATCGACACTCTATCTTGTCTGTTGACCTCCGCAGGGTTGAGATCAAACCTGAAGGCATGCAATATTGCGCTCGATGGCACACGCCCTGCCGAAACCCCTGAACCTCATGCCCGCAAGTGCATGGTCCCGAATGCATCTTCAGGATCCACAAAGCAGTTTTCACCAGCCCATCGAATGCCAAATAACAAACATGCACAAAGACAACCCGGGGCATCCCGGGGCCACCTCTGCATTTTGACTTCCGCGGGTTGGCAATGTCTGACGTGGAAATTGAATTAAAGCCCGCATCGGCTAACGCCGCAGCAGCAGTCGCAAAAGATTGGAAAACTATTCCTGGAAGGATAGCCTGCATCTATTGACGGGAAATGATGCATGTAATGAGTTTGGGTCTGCATTGAGGTTTCCTTGCGCCACTGCAGAAACACCAATGTGGACATGCAAGTCATGGGCCGTGGCGACTGCAAGGTGCACATTGGAGATGTGTCCCACTGCACCATTGTATCAGGAAAGCCTGTGATTACAACCACAAGCTTGCCCGGGCGGCAACAGCGTGGCCCCTCGAGGGTAATACTTAGTTTGACAGACCCATCCAAACCCGGTGTATATTTCCAACACCGAAGGCATCTACGTCGCACAACCTGAAGGGGCATGCGCACCATCTGCCACGATTGTTTGGGAACGCTGGCACTTGAAGCACTCCATCTTCAAGGTTGGGCCTCGCAAGCTTCGGAGCCCGGTTGGCTGATGGCCATACTCGGCAGAACACCGGTCCAACCCATCGAGCGAGAGGCGCTCGTTCATTTCAAAGGCGCATGTGGCTAAGTCTGACGCGCAAACTTTCCAATCTCACCTGAAGGCCGACATGCCATCTGCATCAAATCTATTGCGTTGCAGATTTCCCTGACGAAGAAGCCACTTAGTTGGGCGCATTCGTTGTGCGGTTCCCATCGCACAGACCTGCCTCCTCATGTTGCCCCATAGGTGGTCCTAGGCGCCTCATGTAGGTTCATGCAATGCTCTATGGAAGTGGGCTCTAGAACCCGTATTGTCGGAGGCAGTCCTGAACATCCCGCAATGAATTATGAATTCTACCGGGTTCGCCCAAACCTCTGTGGCCCATGAACGGGCCCACAGACGACGGCTCGCCGAAATGCCTCACAAGCACAAAGCGCAAAGAAAGCACACTGCATGGCAAGTGAGAAGGTAAGTATCCAACAACGTCCGGAGCAGGCTCAGCGGATCTTCACCTGACACATCATTTCCCGACCACCCGCACACCAATTCCATCATGCCAAGCCCGAAACAGAATCGAGCATTGGCATTCACCTTATTGTGGCCAGGTGCCACGTCAATAGAAGAGCACAGTGCATTCCAATGTGACATTCGCATGACGGACAGCCATTCAAGTCAATACGCGAAGAAGTAACGCCCAAAATAGCCCTGGAGGATTGAAACCAACATGCGTCCATGAGAACTCCACAAACGTTCGCGGAGGGACTGGATCCCCTACCCATCCGTATACAATAACGTCTGTGAAGCAATGACCGCTTGACAGAAGCGCGTGTTGAACGTATGCACAGGCTCCAATGATGTTTTCAATCAGGTCCCCCACAAATAGCTTCCCCACTCGCCCACTCGCTCCATACACTCCACGCCACTCCACTCCAATATCCTCTACTCGGCTCCTCTGCGCACAAGCGTGAGCTAGAGCCTACTTGATGTAGATCATGCAGACCCAGCTCCCAAAAAACGCTACCAAACAGGTTCTCTCAAATTCATGCTCTGCCGAAAGGCTATCGGGAGGGACTAGCAGTGGCATGTAAACCTCCAGTTGTGATCGTTCGATGTCGCGGTTGCAAAGGTCTGTTCTGGATACAATTGTCACATGAGCAGCACGAGCACATTTCAAGTTTTACAAGGCTCGTCCAGACCCATCAGCATCCAGGAGCCTTGTGGGCCCATGAGGCATAAACGACTTGATATGAAACTACGCTTGCATTTTGATGCGGATCTGGCCAGCGATAGACATGATCAACGATCCACGTGGGGAGTATATATATATATATATATACGTGTCTGCAGGGACCCAACACGTTCGTCCCCCATGGCTACATACTGTAGAAAGCAGACAGCGATAAGCAAAAAGTACACCTGAAGCTGAGTTCGTAGCACTACATGATGGATTCATGAAATAAGGCGCATCAAGGGCCTTGTGCTATGGGAGAACATGACTCGCGAGACTGAAAAGACAGTGGTCGCTGAAGACAACCAGGCAGCAGTCAGAATCATGATATCTGGTAAAACCCGACAAGAAGTATCTTGCCAGAACGCCAGAGGATTGATGTAGGGAGGCTCAACCAGTTTCATGTGCAGCGGTTATTCAACTGCGTTGGCTGTCCCACTGAGTAAACATGCTAACCAAAGCAATACAAGTGACTATAGAGAATGGAAAAGAGATATGCAAACGACAGGTCACTTCAGAGCAGAAGACCTGACATGCAAGCTCATCGCCGCCGTCGTGAGCGAGGGGGGTGACCCAGAATTCGGATGAACATGTATATGGCTCGACAAGTACGACAGCCAGCAGCTACCTCAGGTTACTTGTTGACTCGGCAAAGACAACAGATACCGGGAGTCTCATCACTCAGATCTCGCAACAGCACCGATGACCAAGTGGCTCTATCTGAAAGGATACAGCGCGATCGTTTCCACTCCTTAACACAGAAGATCGCCAGGCCGCCTGTGATTTTCGTGGTGGGTAGACAGGAGGACAGCTGCATGCCCACGGCTTTTTGAAGGTTCTCGACCGTGTCTGCAGATCTCGAAGTGATAAATGTTCGGATAGCCAGTGACGTTCAAACTGGAACACGGACAGATGAAAAGATAATGATAGCAGCAAAAGCCACGGCGATCTCAAGAGATCGCGATTCGGTTTTTTCAGGACCCGGGTGAGGCGAAGGACACCAAAATGAAGATGGTGCTAAAACACCATCGTGACGGTATGTACTGGCAGTGAATCACTAGACCCAAATTCGTTGTGATGCCAATGGGTGCCCTGAAGCCTACCACCGGCACATGCTGCTGAGTGTACGGCGCTGCTGGCGCTACTCCCCGACATATCTCCAGACCTGCTCACATCTCTGGCGGTTGACAGAAAAACAGTTTTGCCATCTTTGGCGCCTCATCCATCTCTGTACTCCCCACCGGCCCAGGCCTCTCGTGCCCGAGAATGCAAACAAATGCAAAATCAATATGACGAGTCACTCCCTTCAAGCCTGGAGGACTCGTCACCTCGCTGACCTCGCTCCTGCCCGGCTGTGGCGTGAAGACTGTGCGCATGAGGACCGCTATCGCTACAGTGCCTCTAGGCGGCCCCAAGCAATGTGCCTCAGAGACAAGGCCACAAAGCTTAAGTGTTTGCAAGTCCATGAAAGCCTGGGACAGCGCCAGCACACTACAGAAGCAATCGCAAGCACATAACACTATCTTGGGTCTGTGCATCAATCGCGGTTGCATTGCGGAGGTGGAGGTAGGAGTTGCCTCACAGTCTTCTTGCAGGCGTGCTACAGCACGCAGCAAGGGATCCGAATGTGACATCCTTGTTCTTCGCATCCTTGTTCTCCTCCATGGCCTCAATCAACCATAAGTCAGGCAATGCCCTGGACTCGCAAAGCTTAGGCTTCCGGCCGATGGACACGAGGGGCTCAGGGCTTTGAGATGTTTCGAGGCTGCGGTAGGCAAACTTGGGATGTAGCACAAAGGGAAACAACGAATCAAAGCTGAAGCAAAATCCTCAACGCACTGTTTTGAAACGATTGCCGCAAGTTTAAGCTGCTTGTACTAGAGCTGGGCTGGAGTTGGTTTCACTCCACCACCACATCATGCATGTTACAATCCCGGACTGACTCAGCGCTTGGAAATTTAGGGATTTGAAGCTGTTGCGACGAAACTGCAGCGCAGGGCAGGCCAGGCCGCTCAAATCAACGGAGTCGCTCACGCGGTCCGGAGCTTGAAGAGCCTGCACAAATTTCACTCATCACATCCCTTTGCCGCGTGTCTGAAAGCGACGTACCGCGCAATCAAAAGAAGACTTAGACATGGCAAGACTATGAAATTCAAAGCCAAGCATCTGAAGCACTGAAGATCGGTGATGGTCTGCTGCAATCTGGCGCGGAAGGACTTGCAATGCACACTCGCTTTTGCAGTAAAAAACTGTTGGGTACATGGGCCCACATGCAAAACCTGACCGACATAATGGTTCGAGCCTTCCAACTTCTTTGCGAAGGAGGACATTCTCGTACTCAATCCTTGGCAGCGCGATTCTTCAATCACTTCCACATGTTTCGCTTCAAGCTTCGGGCTCATCCCTTTCCTCGCACAGCCCACCTCAATTTGATTGCAGACATCCCGCACTCACGAAATAAAGCGCTGCAGGAGTGCCTGGAACTGCTTCTTCCGGTCCAATTGTGCCTCCATACCACAAGGTCAGTGACTCAAAAAGCAAGCTAGCGACAGCAGCAGCAACAGAAACAGGAGTCGTGGTGGTCGTAGCAGTCGACAAGTAGTAGTCGTCGTCGCAGCAGCAGCAGCAGTGCTAGCTTGGTCGTCATGAACCTCCCAATTCATGCGTCGGCGTAATGTTTGCTTTTGGAACACACATTTGCACAGGACCGCACATGTCTAGGCCACGCATGTGGATATGGCCGATGATATGGCCTGTCTGTGCACGCCCGTTGCTGTTTACCCAACTCTCGCAGCAAACACGTCGCAGTGTCATCAGTTCAGTTCCTCCATGCACTGGCTTATGGAGTAGCTTTCCAACACATGTTAAAAGAAAGCTCATGCATGAGACGTATCCAAACAACTTGACCGATAAGTGGCTAGGGAAGGCTTTGGTTTCATGCGCTCTGGCACAGTGGCAAACGTGGGGTGCAACTTCACCATGATGTCTTTGGGCACCTGCCCACAGAATTTACATTGCACCATTCCAAGCTGACGCAGGTCTTCTGCCCCAGATTGCAACAGGCAAAAGATTTTCACGCCGGGAAGGGAACCAAGGTCCAAACTGTGGTCCATGGCAAAGAGGACGTTTAAAAGCGATGAGCGACGGACATGAGTGCGGTCTAAGGCTGCGCTGCTGTTGTAAGACATGTATCGTGTGCCAGTTGTGCATGTTAGCAGGGTCTGGGCAACGTACCGAACATGCCAGCGGCGTCGGTTGGGGGTTCTGTCGACGTCCACGACAATCAAGGAAACCAGGTTCAGACGATGCTTTGCGCAAACAACAGAAGACGCATCGCCGGCCCTTCTTCATCTGTTTGCGAGCAGCCAACAGAACAACATCACAGTCCTGGAAGTCCATCGCGAGTTTTGCGTTGGTCTTCGTGCACTCCTCGGCATCTTCACGTTCATGCCTCCGCTGACTCCGTCAAGGCAGCAAGCTGGGCCTCGAAGTCCTGAATGGCAAGCATGAGGACCTGACCGGCCAAATCTGTCTGAGCGCAAACTCCCTCAGCTAGCTGAACGTGCAATGTCACTTTACGAATCATGCCTGCCGTTCGGTTCTTGCCTGGCCAGGCTTCAAAACATCGAAGTACCGCAATCACATGGCTATGAAATTGGCAATTGCGGGCCTGGAAAAAGCTGCGGATCCAAAAGCACCAGTCCTGGTCACGGTCGTGCTAGGAGTGCAGGCTCTGATGGATTTGCAGTAATCGCCTCTCGTTCCCGGGCGATCTGGTCCATGATCCAGTTGGGAGCCTTGAACGAAATTACCACATGGTGACGAAGATAGACACCGGCAACGACGGGGAATGGCTGCAAAAAGAAACACTCTGCCGCCGGTCCCGAACAAATATGAACAAATGGTCTTGCCCAAGATTGCGCAACACTAGGCGTTTTTTGTGCCTCTTTCATCATTAAGTAAGCGCCATTTGGAAAACTTGGTCCTGCTACAGACTTTTCTAACATCTGTGTTGAGTGCCCAGCATGGGTTCAACCAATTGAACTAGCGCACACCCCATTTACAAATATGGCTCTTCTGAGCACGGCGGAGTGCTACAATGCTACAAACACCGATCCAATCCAGCTTCGAATGAAGGAGCCTCTGCTCTACCAGCACGTGACTTGAATCGCGGTTGCATCCGTAAGCAGAACAAAAGCCAAACACTTTCCGCTTTTTGCAAGACTGTCAGTGAATCAGCAGACTAGTACAACAAATAAGAGGGAACAGACGCTCCAACTAAGCGCTGTTGATGCGGTCTCCGCCGCTGCCCTCCGTTGCGCCACATTGTCGGCAGGCTCGGGAGGCAGGTACAGCCTGACCGGCATCCCGGAGTGGACCCGGCATGGAGAATCGTCCTCCAGCCATTCCCGCATAATCTCCAAGCGGTCTGGTCCGCACTGGAGAGTCACGAATTTGCTGGGAACGCCGTCAGACGATAGCCTCACAACAAGCTCGGGGCAAATGCATGTCGGATGACAAGCGCAATTCTGAACACTTTGATTGCATGGTTCCGCCGCTGCACGAACAGACAAACAACCAGCGCGAAACCACGAACAGCGACGCTAGCACAGGAACAGCCCCACCACAAACGTCCTCGCCAACACGCGAACAACTGCACGAACATGCGAATAGCCGCCCTTGCCTTAGCCTTGCGCATGAGGGCGGAGTCGAGCAACCACACGGCGGCATGTATCCAAGTAAACTGCGAAATAGCTGGAACCTAGCCGACTCAGCCGACCCTTGTCCCCAGTTCTACACCTGACAGGAGCTCAAGCGTAGCGGACGGCAGGAGTCCAAGATCGCGACATCTGCGAAGTCATAATCCGAGCGTGCCCGACCAACCGCAAGCTGTCTTACCAGTAAGAAGAATGCAATATGCAAATCGAAAAATCACTCCGTTGAGATCCAGATCGACACAAAGGAAAGAGTACACAACAGCTGGTAGGCCACGAAGAGAACTGTGTGCTCCAGACGCCGGCACACCAAGTGATACAAGTTCTGTTTAGGAGTTGCTTGCTCAACAAGTCCCTCTGCTGCAAGCTCAACCGAAACTGTTGCAGAGACAGGCCGTCATGCGACAGCAAGCTTTTCAAGACTCATAACTGATTGTTGACACCTTGGACCCAGGACTTCGACAAGTGATGCGCGAATGGAAAAGCACCCTGTTGCATGGATTTGGAAGCAAACATGCCAAGATCGAGTCTCAGGGCGAGCTCAACCGATGTCTTGACCCATTAATTAGGCGTACGAAATACATCTTGCATGACAGAAACTTGGACAGAAGCGCTCTAAGGCTTCTCTAAGGAATGCCGCGCTTTCATCCCTGATCACGAGAAGCGGGCTCTCGAGATGTTCACGCAGAAGATCTCCATGGAAACTGTTCTTCGAAATGTCGAAGATCTTTGGACATCATGGTTCGACAATAACCAAAGCCATGCCCAGGGTCTCGTAACTGCGTCCACTTCGCTGAAATGACGGTCAGCGAAGATATGCTGAAGACTCGAAGCCGCATCCAACAAGCAGAAGAAGCAAGCAAGCAACAGCCTTGATCCGAGCCGAGGCTAAATCCAGAATGTGGATCTGCAGAAGCTTAACGCTTTGATTGAGTTGGAAAGCACACACAAAGCAAGTCACGAGCAAATGGCACCATTGCAAAACCTCTTACCCTTTGCAAACACTCTGAACTGGCAGGGCTCGTTCTGCAAACACCTGACCTTGAGAATCACATCAAGATCCAGTACTGCAACGCCAACCCCCCACACGGACGCTCGAGCTCAACAAGCAGCAAAAGTCAAAGACGCCGTTCGCAGACTCAAGGCTCCTCAAAAGCATCTGTATGCTTCACATCACAGCAAAAGCAAAGGCAAAGGCAAGGGCACGGGTAAGTGGCAAACAACAACCAGGAACGAAGAAGGTCTTTTTCCGGACCGCTTGTCCCACCCCAACCACTCAGATTTAAAGAGCCATCCAGTGGATGAAATCACATAAGGACGACATCGTGATCGGGGTTTTGCGATAAAGGATTGGGAGACGCAGTTGTGCCCCTACTTGGACTGATCAAGACTTGCCACTGCCACGACTTTGGGACTCTCAGGCTTCAAGAAGTTGACAGACCTTTTGTGAATCAAGCCGAAGCATGCAATGTAAACCAGACGAAACAGCCGCATTCATCAAAGTCGGCCGATTCTCTGCCACGGGGGGAATCTTCAGGTTGATGTTAAAGCTGCACGACAAAAAAAACAATTGTAGGCAGACCAATCGCGAACTTGTCGAACAGTTGGCCTACACTTACACCGACCAGCCTCACTCTGTGCAAGATGCTCCAATCCCCGAGCCTACACAGCGAACAGCACTCGTGGTTCCACCGGGTTCTGCGATTGATGCATTCATGGGATGTTCGCAACCACGACGGCCACACATAGACCTCGCGAATTGTCATTGGACTGCCCCGTATCACTATGCAAAACCAGCTCATACAACATCGCGCGGAATATTTAGAGGCTCTTGGTATTGCCACAGGTTCGCCACCAGGAGCATATCTTCAAAACATACAGGTGAACCATAACGATCAACACATGCTGCAAGCACTTTCCTCAAAGATTGCGTTACTTACACGTCTTGCAAACGACTCCGCAGTGTGCACACGCTATGTAGACGAGATACGGAGAGCTCAACACTCATGGCGCTATGATTTGGTGCAGGAAATCTCCAGCTATGGAGGTTGTTGTGACTTGTGCGAGGATGTTGTCTCATTCCTCGACATGCAGCCGTCGCACCAACGTGGAAGCATGTTGCGGGAAGCGTACCAGAAGCTTCTGAACAAATAACGGAACATTCCGAGGACGAGTGCTCACCCTGGATTCCGCGATTCTCGGCCTCATTCGTGGAGACACCGTTCGAATTAGGCGTGCCAACAGGAAGCTCAAAGACGTACAGGAACATTGGGATTGGGAGTTGTTTCGAATCTTCGATGGGAAGACATGACAAGTCTTCCAGCAGATCCATGACATGTAGAAGATTTCAGAAGCACCTCAGCACCTCTGCATAATCACATCTTCTTCCCAACGAGCGACCAAGACAGCTCGCAAGATGTTTGCGGTCATCAAATACAGCAGCTGAGTACAAACACGTGTTATCCAGAACAACCCGGGAAAAAACTCACGAACCGCCGCACGAGCACGTGAACAGGAATCAGGCGAACACATCAACACAAACGGCTTCGCGAAAACGTGAACACGCGAAAATGAAAATCCGCACGAACAACTGGGCCAGGTGCCTTTTGTTGTTTG